AGTGAAAAATTTAAGGGGGTCTGAATACTTTCCGTACCCACTGTATATTTATATACATGGTGTACAGTACATATACAAATATAGGAATGTATATATCCTGTTTCATGTAGTAATATTATACCAGCAAAACTAATGTTTTTATAAGACACAAATAGCTTCCTACAGTAATAACTGCAAATATCCTTTCTCCTGATTATATTAAATAGTGCAGTGCAGAAGTTCAGTTATTTTCCCATAAAAATAACAAATATGCTTAATTCTCAAATAATTTAGGATAATTATAACAGTCATTATCTTTCCATTAGCACAAACTAATCATTAGCTTTGAAATAATCACTTAAATGTTTCTTATTAATGTATTCATTAGTGTCCCAGCACAAACAAGCCCACCAGCTAAAATGTACCTTAGCAAATACAAATATTTAGGTTGTTATGTGCAATAACAAATCAAAATTATTGTTTTAGGCGAGTAAACAAAAAAATTTACTAGCCAATGGCGATTATATTGCCAAGGTGTGCGTAGAGGGTTGTAGGGTCACCATGACACCACAGCTCATTTAGCATGATGTTTTCAGCTGCCCAAGTATTCTTGCTTAAAAAAATAGCTCACCCAAAAAAAATTAAGATAAACTGCTAAAAATCACCCTCAGGCCATCCAAGATGTAGATGAGTTTGTTTCTTTGTCAGAACATAGTTGGAGAAATTTAATATTACATCATTTGCTCACCAATGGATCCTCTGCATTGAATGGGTGCCATCAGAATGAAAGTCCAAACAGCTGATAAAAACATCACAATAATCCACAAGTAATCCACACAACTCCAGTCCATCAATTAACATCTTGTAAAATGCTGAATGTTTGCAAGAAACATGCAGAATTGCTTCTGGCCAAAATATGAGTTCATAATCCATAATAACACTTCCTCCAGTGAAAAAATACATACCCGGTTGTCCTCTCACATCAAAATTCACCAACACATTTGTTTTGGACTGTTTTCACTTATAAATGGTGCTTGATATGTGCATATTTCTCTCCTGATTCAGATGAGACAACTTTCACTGCAAGCAATATTATGGATAGAGAACTCATATTTTAAAGGGAAACAATTACTTGTGGATTATTGTGATGTTTTTATCAGATGCTCATTCTGATGGCACCCATTCACAGCAGAAGATCCATTGGTAAGCAAGTGAATGGGTAAGCTATTCGTTTAACGGTTCTGCTTTCAGCACCCTGATGTTTGGCCTCAAAAATCAAGTAGGTTTGTAAATCCTGATCAACAGGAGACTTTAGTGGAGATGGACAGCTTCATGTAAATTGTAAAACACAACTAGGCCTGTGTTTCTAAATCTGGAGCAGATGTCTCAGGTATCCTAGTTGGCAGTGACTGTTGGTGATTTTCTGAATGCCAAAACATGCCTCTCTGTGTTATGGATCAGAATGAATATTGCCCATGCTGCAAGGGCTTTGACTCAGCAAGAGGGAGCGATCGAGGAGAAGGGGTTATGCTCCAACAGAGCGCTGAGTCGTTTTAGCACTGCGATGAGGGAGAACTCCAACTTCCTGCTTGCTTTGGCAAACCCTTAAAACTCTCGCGGTCTCTGAGCTTGCGGCAACTTCAGCGACTTCTCACTCCAATTTCGTTCCCATGTTTTTCTACATCCTTATAGCTCAGTTTATGGAGGCCTGTTTCTTTAGAAATAGAAAATCCATTCCATTCAAACAGAATAGTAGAAAAATTAACCTTTGATGGGGCCGCTCTTAGTTTGGTTGATTATTGAGTGTGTTCGTTGGGCCAATTGTGTGGCATTTGTGGATTTGATAGAGTTCTGTCAAGGTGCAATCATTGCCGCATGGTCCCTCACCATCACTTGAGAGCAACCTGTATTTTTCTGAAGCCCAATGAAATGGCTGTAGTGGACTGAAGAGCAAAGTCACAAGAAAAACATCATAATGAGGGCTGGTGCTTTCCAAAGTAGGACACAAAACTGGGTCCAATCATTTTCAAGTGCTGGAGCAACATCAATAGAGAAGTGCTCAAAGAGCAAATCATTTGTTTGGAAACTGAGGACATAAAGTTTATATAAGTACAAGTTGCTTCTTAACTTCTGGAACACCCAAATAAGTTCTTGCTAATTGTTAATGCCCTGTATGAACACCTTCATCTGTGCCAACATGTCTGTTGCATCACTTATTATTCTCTGTGTGATTTTACCTAATCTATTTGTACACAGCTTCTGATGAAAGGAAGCTGTGTGATATTTATTTTTTCCCCTTACCTCAGCAGTCAGTAAGCAGGCCCAGCAGTCCACAATGCCTCATTGAAATGCCAGACTTGAGAGGGGCAGTTGCTTTAAAAGGCTCTCTGATTACTCGCATCAATAGGACCCTATTTGTTGTGGCTCCCGCAGCAACTGCCAAAGCAGATGGGTTATAATTCAGGCCGATTTGCACTGCTTAAATCCTATAATGATTCCCCTACACTCCCAAAGGCAAATGCTAACAGCCATTTCAGAAGTCTGAATGCTTCTGTAATGGACTGACTGTAAAGAGAGCAGGTACGCTTATTGACTTTCTCTGCAATCTGGTTAATTGTCTGCTCCGCACATCAACACCACCCTAAATCTATGCTACAGATCGGCCTTGCGTCAAGTAAAAAACAAATGATCTATTATGCAGCACTTGGAAAAGCAACTCAGACATTTGTCTACAAGGTTCCACCAGGACAGTTTTGATGCACAATATTTCAAACATCAAATATCACTTAAAAGAACAGTTCACACAAAAATGAAATATGTCATTTCTAGAGAGCCCCCGGACATGACATGCGGACAAAAATATATATATTTATTGAGGCCACAAATGAAGAATTTGTACCACAAATTAAGAATGTGTTCGCTCATTTTACTCCATACCCTTGTTTTAGTTAAACCATGGACACAAAATAAGAATTCTAATGCTAAAACAAGGGAACAAATTCTTAATTTGTTGCCACGGTTGTTTTGGACCCCATTGACTTTCATTGTATGGACAAAAGCATGTTTCAAAATATCACATTTTGTTTCACAGCAGTGTAGTATTATTTTTATACTATTATAGATATTAAGGTTATACTTTATTGCTTTATAGTTTACACTTTATTTTATTTCAGCTTAATTTCAATTAACATTTATTTATAGCTTTAGTTTAAGGTGCTGTATGATCATTTTTTTGAAAGCATAAAAAAAAATTATACTAAATCATAAAAATACCATAATAGGTTTGCAGATATTTAGGAAACATGCTTGTTTATTCCAAAAACAATGCTACAGCCAGTTATTGTACTTCGAATTGTGTGTTCCATGTCGGAATGTCTGCTTTTGTTTTGATTCCACCAACTGCCAATTTACCCAATAGTATTACTCCCTGGGTTGCCAGTTGGTGGAAAACATAGCATATTGCAGTCATTGAAGCCAGCAAATGAGTTTTGTCAGAGATTGCAGTTTCTGCCCCGAACTGAAAGGCTGCTGTATCCATCTAAAAAGCTCTATGACCAGAGGAATATTAAAATGCGGATAAATCAACTCATCAACTCACAGTGTAAGACTCGTCAATTTAGCTTGTTCCTGTTGAGTGTCCTCAATCTGGCAATCCGCATGTACATGATGTATATGACCAAATGTTTTTTGGATAAACAGTCACTTTAAAGGCAATGTGTGTCACACTGGTCACCAAACAGATGCGGCCAAAACTCACTCCATTGGTCGAGCAGTTGTGTTGGGCTAGGCAAGATTCCTAAACAAATAGTGCCAGCATTTTTACACTTTTCACAGAAATCAACCTTTGAAAATGGCTTACATATAGCTGTCTCTGTACGGGATGGGACAGAAAAGTACTTTAAGATCAAAAACTCAGCCTTACCTTCATTGAGACCCATATGAATACTCCAGTAGCTCTGCAGACATTGGAGCTCCCTCTTCATGCCCCTCTTGCAGCGGCAGTCATACAGGGGGCTGTCCTGCAGCACCTCAAGAGCGGCCTGACATTCTCTGTTGCCCAGCATGGTAGTCCTGTCACGACCTACCAGGCACTGGCGCATGATGCGGAAGCGTGAACTGCACTGTGAGTTTTGGTTGCACACCTCACTGGCCCTCAGGCAGTCCATGGGGGCTCTCCAACCTTGAGTTTCCAGCCCTGACAAGGCAAAATGGCTGGCCATGGAAAGTACCACCTCATCTGCGGGAAGGGCAGGGGCATTATCAGACCGGGTAAGAGGTGGTGTGAATGAAGTTTTGATTTATTTGTTTTTAATATGACTTAATTTGGAAAAGAACACAACCAATAATATTTTGTATTTTTTTAGAGACCCAAAAGGGTCATAAGTTTTCGTTCACCATTTTTTCACACAGTGATACAGCAGAAAGCATTAAACCCTAACGACAGCGACTTCTGTCAGTGGAGTAAGGAACTGTACCAGTTGGCCGTGAACTGAATTACTCAACATTACTGTCATGTCAAACACAATGTGAAAACATTTAAATAAAACATGTAAAATATGACTATACAATATATAATAATACAACCTGAACATGTAAATGAAAAAAACAATCCTGTTGGTGTTATTTTATAATAATAAGTGGTTTTCTCTGTTTTCAGCACCATGGACAGTTCCTCTCAATGGTTATGGGTTCGAATAACCTGGGCTAGATTTCCCAAAACACTAAGTAGAATGTTAATAAGCACTTTAGTACTAAATCTCTATAGGATGTTTCCCAAAAGGGTCATTATGTAATTAGCACGTAAAAACGTTCTTTAATTACTAACTTAGCATTCACAGGTTACAAAGGGACACTTAATAAATAATAGTAATACACATAGGCGGAGAGTGAACCAACTCTAAGGCTAAAAGCAGCAAATGTATTAAACATCATAAACCCGTCTTTTTAGACAATAATTGATTGGCCATTGCATTCCTAAGCGCAACAGAATTTTGTGTGATTGGTTCAAATGCGCAACACCGTAAAAACGCCTCAAATGAAATACGGTGCAACGTGAGCAGATCTTAATTTAATTCCGCAATCGACACTGTCTATCCATATTAATTTTGTTCGCAACAGACGTAATAGATTTAATTGTTTGTGCAGGGGCATTTTTGTCCAATTTAGTGGCATTTTTGCCTCAAGTCCCCAGGCCGGGGAAGGCTAAGCCTTCCTTACACACGCTCCGCCTATGGTAGGTAATGCATTTGGATCATTTACAGCTATCTGCGCATCCCACACGCTAGGCCTATACATTTAGCTACAAGACCGACAACAAGGCATTAGTTTATGCAGGTCTACTTTAAACATAAGTAACTAATTGCAACTAATGATACTTAATGGGCACAAACTGCTGAGGTTCCTCTTGCGCAAAACATAGTGTGTGGCCCTATCTTAAAAGCTTAAAGTTTTTAATTGCTGTTTGGAGATGTATTTAAGATGTGATTATTTATATTTATGTATTTATATTTTGCCGGTGTAGCGTTTGATAAGACACCGATCCAAACTAAAAGTGCGGGAGTTGCGTATTGTTGCCATGGTTATTTCAGACGAACGCGATTTCTGTTTTCAATGGTTTCTATGGATTTTGGGATCGCCTTTTTGGTCACTGAAAAGTATTTATGTACTTTATATTTATGTACCCAATTCCTTGCCCCCGATACGATGATTTTCAACGATGACTCATCTGAACTCCTCTGATTGGCCATTGCATTCCTAAGCTCAACAGAATGTTGTGTGATTGGTTCAAATGCGCAACACCGTAAAAACGCCTCAAATGAAATACGGTGCAACGTGAGCAGATCTTAATTTAATTCCGCAATCGACACTGTCTATCCATATTAATTTTGTTCGCAACAGACGTAATAGATTTAATTGTTTGTGCAGGGGCATTTTTGTCCAATTTAGTGGCATTTTTGCCTCAAGTCCCCAGGCCGGGGAAGGCTAAGCCTTCCTTACACACGCTCCGCCTATGGTAGGTAATGCATTTGGATCATTTACAGCTATCTGCGCATCCCACACGCTAGGCCTATACATTTAGCTACAAGACCGACAACAAGGCATTAGTTTATGCAGGTCTACTTTAAACATAAGTAACTAATTGCAACTAATGATACTTAATGGGCACAAACTGCTGAGGTTCCTCTTGCGCAAAACATAGTGTGTGGCCCTATCTTAAAAGCTTAAAGTTTTTAATTGCTGTTTGGAGATGTATTTAAGATGTGATTATTTATATTTATGTATTTATATTTTGCCGGTGTAGCGTTTGATAAGACACCGATCCAAACTAAAAGTGCGGGAGTTGCGTATTGTTGCCATGGTTATTTCAGACGAACGCGATTTCTGTTTTCAATGGTTTCTATGGATTTTGGGATCGCCTTTTTGGTCACTGAAAAGTATTTATGTACTTTATATTTATGTACCCAATTCCTTGCCCCCGATACGAGTCCTGGACCCTGCATCAATCAATCAATAAAAAATAAATAAATAAACAAATCAGCAAATGTATGTTGCACTATTTTTTGTATTACCACAGCCGAAATCTATTAATTTTATTAAACTTAGAAATGTTAAATTTCAGCGTCTCGAAAAGCTACACGTTTTAGGTTTTGGCAGCATTTTCACTCCATTTTTCGTTTAAGTTTTGACAATGGTTTTAGTTCACCTTTAGATATAACAGCTCACGTAACGATGCCCCGAAGTTCTTCAAAATAACGAGCAATCTACTTCTATATACGGAGCAACGTGAGCAGATCTTACTTTAATTTCGCAGTCGACACTGTCTATCCATATTAATTTTGTTCGCAACAGACGTAATAGATTTAATTGTTTGTGCAGGGGCATTTTTGTCCAATTTAGTGGCATTTTTGCCTCAAGTCCCCAGGCCGGGGAAGGCTAAGCCTTCCTTACACACGCTCCGCCTATGGTAGGTAATGCATTTGGATAATTTACAGCTGTCTGCGCATCCCACACGCTAATCTTGATCTTTCCACTGAATGAGTGATGTTGTACAAGAGACTATTAAAGTATGGATGCCTGCCAGCATGAAAGAGTGAATTCATTCTGTAAACTGTCTCTTTGACCGTCAAATGTCTACTTTACGCAGGCAGTTAAACCATATTATTACACTGTCAATATGATAAATGATTGTCTGCGTGGGTTTTCAATTTATATTTTGCCGGTGTAGCGTTTGATAAGACACCGATCCAAACTAAAAGTGCGGGAGTTGCGTATTGTTGCCATGGTTATTTCAGACGAACGCGATTTCTGTTTTCAAAGGTTTCTATGGATTTTGGGATCGCCTTTTTGGTCACTGAAAAGTATTTATGTACTCAATTCCTTGCCCCCGATACGAGTCCTGGACCCTGCATCAATCAATCAATCAAAAATAAATAAATAAACAAATCAGCAAATGTATGTTGCACTATTTTTTGTATTACCACAGCTGAAATCTATTAATTTTATTAAACTTAGAAATGTTAAATTTCAGCGTCTCGAAAAGCTACACGTTTTAGGTTTTGGCAGCATTTTCACTCCATTTTTCGTTTAAGTTTTGACACTGGTCTTAGT